GGCTTTGATATGAAACACACTTTGGACATAATAGATAGCTTAATGCTTTTGATATGAAACATACATAGGACACAGCAGATAGCATTAATATTCTTTGATATGAAACACACATTGGACATAATAGATAGCTTAATGCTTTTGATATGAAACATACATGGGACACAGCAGATAGCATTAATATCTTTGATATGAAACACACATTGGACGTAATAGATATCTTAATGCTTTTGATATGAAACATACATGGGACACAGCAGATAGCATTAATATCTTTGATATGAAACACACATTGGACGTAATAGATATCTTAATGCTTTTGATATGAAACATACACTGGACATAATAGATATCTTAATGACTTTGACATCAAACATACACTGGATATATTAGATAACTTAATGCTTTTGATATGAAACATACATGGGACACAGCAGATAAATTGATGACTTTGATATGAAACACACATTGGACATAATAGCTAGCTTAATGGCTTTGATAAGAAACATACTCTGGATATATTAGATAACTTAATGCCTTTGATATGAAACACACACATTGGACATAATAGATAGCTTAATGGCATTGATATGACACATACATTGGACACAGCAGATATCTTAATGGATTGGATATGAAACACACATTGAACATAATTGATAGTTTAATGGCTTTGATATGAATCATACATGGGACACAGCAGATAAATTGGACATAAAAGATAGCTTAGTGCCTTTCATATGAAAAACATATTCGACGTAATAGATAGATTAATGGCTTTGATATGAATCATATAAGGGGCACAGTTGATAGTGTAAAGACTTTGACATTAAACTTATTTTGGACATAATAGATAACTTAATGGCTTTGATATGAAACACACTTTGGACATTATAGATAGCTTAATGGCTTTGATATGAAACATACATTAGACACAGCAGATAGCTTAATGGCTTTAACATAAAACACACACTGGACATAGTAGATAGCTTAATGGCTTTGATATGAAACATACACTGGACATAATGGAAAGCTTAATGGCTTTGATATGAAACATACACTGGACATAATAGATAACTTAATGGTTTTGATATAAAACACACATTGGACATGGTATATTGTTTAATGGCTTTGATATGACACACACTTTGGACATAATAGATAGCTTAATGGCTTTGATATGAAACATACACTGGACATAATAGATAATTTAATGGCTTTGATATAAAACACACATTGGACATGATATATTGCTTAATGACTTTGATATGAAACACACATTGGACATCATAGATGGCTTAATGGCTTGATATGAAACATACATTGGACACAGCAAATAGCTTAATGGCTTTGATATGAAACACACATAGGACATAATAGATAGCTTAATGGCTTTGATATGAAACATTCATTGGAAAAAGCAGATAGCTTAATGGCTTTAATATAAAACACACACTGGACACAGCAGATAGCTTAATGGCTTTAATTTAAAACATACATTGGACATAATAGATAGCTTAATGGCTTTGATATGAAACATTCATTGGACAAAGCAGATAGCTTAATGGCTTTAATATAAAACACACATTGGACACAGCAGATAGCTTAATGGCTTTGATTTAAAACACACAGTGGACATAATAGATAGCTTAATGGCTTTGATTTAAAACACACATTGGACATAATAGATAGCTTAATGGTTTTGATATGAAACACACATTAGACACAATAAGTAGATTAATGGCTTTGATTTTAATCATACCTTGGACACAGCTTTTATCGTATTACTTTGATTTGAAACATACATTGGACACAGCTTTTATCATAATGACTTTGATATGAAACATACATGGGACACAGCGGATAGCTTAATGGCTTTGACATGAAATACATTTTGGTCATAATATATTAGTTAATGGCTTTGATAGGAAACGTACACTAGATACAGCAGACACCTAAATGTCTTTGACATAGAACACAAATTGGACATAATAAATAGCTTAATGGCTTTGATATAGAACACAAATTGGACATAATAGACAGCTTAATGGGTTTGATATAGAACATAAATTGGACATAATAGATAGCTTAATGGCTTTGATATGAGACATACACTGGACAAAGCAGACAACTTATTGGCTTTGATATAAACCATACACTGGACAAAGCAGACAACTTATTGGCTTTGATATAAACCATACACTGGACACAGCAGATAGCTTAATGACTTTGATATGAAATACACTTTGGTCATAATAGATAGCGTAATGACTTTGATATGAAACATACATTGGACACAGCAGATTGCTTAATGGCTTTGATATGAAACATACATTGGACACAGCAGATTGCTGAATGGCTTCGATATGAAACATACATTGGACACAGCAGATTGCTTAATGGCTTCGATATGAAATATACTTTGGACATAATAAATAGCTTAATGGCTTTGACATAAAACACACATTGGTTATAATAGATAGCTTAATGCCTTTGATATGAAACATACAATGGATATAATAGATTACATAATGGCTTCTATATGAAACACCCATTGTACATAATAGATAGCTTAATTTCTTTGATATGAAACATACATTGGACATAATAGATAGCTAAATGGCTGTGATATGAAACATACACTGGATATAACAGATAGCTTAATGGCTTTGATATGAAACACAATTTGGACATAATAGATAGCTTAATGGTATTGATATGAAACATACATTGAACACAGCAGATAGCTTAATGGCATTGATATGAAACATACCTTTGACACAGCAGCTTGCTTGATGGCTTTGATATCATATGTACATTGGACACAGCAGATAGCCTAATGGCTTTGATATGAAACGCACATTGGACACAGCAGATAGCTTAATGACTTTGATATGAAACATACCTTTGACACAGCAGCTTGCTTGATGGCTTTGATATCATATGTACTTTGGACACAGCAGATAGCCTAATGGCTTTGATATGAAACACACATTGGACACAGCATATTGGTTAATGGCTTTGATATAAAACACCCACTGAATACAACAGATAGCTTAATTGCTTTGATATGAAACATACATTGGACACAACAGATATCTTAATGGCTTTGATATGAAACACACGCAAACAGTAAATGGATATTTGATGTTCTTTTTCCTCACTAGTGAAATTAATCAAAAACTTGTTTTTATCCAGTTTTTAACCGTTTTTGTGCCAGAAGTTTTGGCTCTTATTTTATCCGATAATTGTCAAAACTGTCCATTTTGTAATTTAGCTACTTTATCATTTTAAGTTCACTTTAATAAGTATTCAGCAGCTTTTAATTAACTGTAAGTAGAAATTTAAAATTACTTATCTGAGTAAATCATTAAATATATTAAAGATTTTCTGTTTGATCATGAAGATAAAACTTAAACTGTATTCTAGACTGAATCAAAACTACAACTCAGTGGGTTCTATTGCAGTTAGTATTTTCAACCTGAATTTAAGTTGCCAGGTCAAAGAAACCTAGAGTTCAGGTCTAGCCATTCATAATTCTCAACGACTGATTATAGAAAAGGTCAGCAAAACCCTCAGCCACAAGGGCTTTGTCCTGTTTCTGGACCGAATAAAGGAAGTGACTGTTACTTGTATAACGCGTCCACATCTGAATGTGCAGATTGTGTTCAGCTAATCTCGTCTCGAACCCAAGACTCTGCGACTTAGCCCTAAACGCTATCCGCTAGGCCACCCCGGTCCTACTCGCTTCTTGGTGTAACAATGAAAGTGACTGCTACTTATTTAACGCGTCCACAACTGAATGTGCAGATTGTGTTCAGCTAATCTCGTCTCGAACCCAAGACCCTGTGACTTAGCCCTAAACGCTATCCGCTAGGCCACACCGGTCCTACTCGCTTCTTGGTGTAACAATGAAAGTGACTGCTACTTATTTAACGCGTCCACAACTGAATGTGCAGATTGTGTTCAGCTAATCTCGTCTCGAACCCAAGACCCTGTGACTTAGCCACAAACGCTATCCGCTAGGCCACACCGGTCCTACTCGCTTCTTGATGTAGCAATGAAAGTTAATGAACTTATTTAATTACTTGAAACAATATCCAAAATTCTATATATCATGTTTCATGACTATTTTCATAACTATTAATCAATTCGAGCCGAAAATATAATTTATTCTAAATAAAAGAAACGAAAAAATGTCCATCAACGTTTAAACTTTAAATAGAACAAAGACACGTTCTTTGAAAATATATATATATACAAATAAATAAAGCTTAAACTTTTTTTATTTGATTCAAAACGTGTTGGAATATTTTTTTCAATCAACCATAAAATATATTCTGTTTCTGTCCAGAATCAGAAAGGTACCGTTCCAGACAGCATATTATCATATTTAATATGGATATATAGTTTTTATATTTAACTTATTCATTAAAAAAAACAAGAGATAATTACGAGTGTAATTTATTCAAATATTTTGAAGTTTTGATGTGCTTGAAAATACGTCGATTTAGTTTATTTAATACCTTGATTATACTGAAATCTCTATATATCATATTTACATATATATGTATAAATGATGAGAGGCTTAGTTATAGTCTAAAAAAGCGTCGTCACCATAAACAAGTCAATTTTCGTTTTAGTGTATTACGAGTCACTTAGAACGAAAATAATTAACTTCAAGGGCCTCTGTGCAACTTTTACAGCGCACTCATGCGGGAAAAACCGTAAATAAACCTGGGGTATTCAGTTTCGCAGTGTGTTTTTAGCTAGGAGAAACAGCTGTTAGCGGTGGGAAAACATCACTCGATGTAAAATGTTAGTGACAACAAGCGGACCATGTATAGTCGAAGACGGTGTCTCATCTGTCGTGACGATTCACGTGGATCTCACGTGTAACCGTAACAATTAAACAGATACTTATTAAATTCTTAGCTAATATATATATATATATATGCGCATTAATTAACTGATTAGTTATTTTTTAAGTTTTGTTCTTCAAGTTCCAACAAGAAAAGAATGAATGAGCGAGCGAGAAGCCACATATACAGACCAAAGTTATATCTGGTGGTTTGGACTTTGATCTTGACCAATGTATTTGAAATGCTGACCGCAGATAACCTGCGTAAGTATTATTTCTCTCAAATATTTCCTTCTTACTTCGTACAGTTTTTATATTCTTAATAGTTTTCATCGCAGTCATTTTCTCTGTATCCAGGAGCGACGCCACCCTCATCCTAGAGAGGAGGCTCAGGTGTGGTCACACAATACTATCGTGTGTAAGAAGTGAAATTAAAACTAAGTTATCTTTGGGTGCCAGGAATATAGGGAAGGCTAAGGCACATTTTGGGGTAGCTTCAGCCCCAGCAGGACCCTTTACCGCCGCCCCTGTTCATATCTGGCGTATTTACATAATCATGTTGAGTTTCCCGTAGACTGTACTGTGGAAATATCTGGTGTATTTATATAATCATGTTGAATTTCCCGTAGACTGTACTGTGGAAAGATCTGGTGTATTTATATAATCATGTTGAGTTTCCCGTAGACTGTACTATGGAAAGATCTGGCGTATTTACATAGTCATGTTGAATTTCCCGTAGACTGTACTGTGGAAAGATCTGGTGTATTTATATAATCATGTTGAGTTTCTCGTAGACTGTACTGTGGAAAGATCTGGTGTATTTATATAATCGTATTGATTTTCCCGTAGACTGTACTGTGGAAAGATTTTTCATATTTCTATACGATACTGTTTAATATTCTAAGTCGCTTTGAATGTTTTCACGTATTTAATATCATCATTCTATGATGTACTTTTCGCGAAACTTTTCTAGGCCAGTTTTTAATCACAAGTCAGTAATAACGACATTCCGATATCTGTACAAAGTGTCCTGATTAGCGGTAAGTTTACGGACTTACAACGCTAAAATACGGTAGAAACCGCAGCTAGCCCAGTTTGGCTTTGCTCTAAAACAAACAAACAAACAAAGTTTCATGATCCAGAACATTAGTCTTTTACCGCTGCTGTGAAACCAGAATAAACAGTTAGTTTACTAAGGGTTTACAAAATCTAGCAAGTTTTAAGTCTACCGAAACAGGGTGAGTAAACAAACCACAGCATGTTTTGTCTTATATATCTTACTATAAAGATGATCCATTAATTACCCAGAGTTCCCTGACTCAATTACATTAATGTTTTTACGGCAGTGTACATAGGCTAATTTGTTTTACGTAAGAAGATGTACAAAAAATACTACGAGAAGAGATTTATAGACTTTTGGTTTTGAACTTAAAGACACGAGAACTTAATCAGTTAAATGAGTCATCTAATGAGATCGTTATGGGTTTAATAACAAGAACAAAGAAGAAGGAGAAACATTGTTCTTTATACAAGTTATTCTTCCTTAAAGTACCCTCACCTACTATATATAACATACACTTAGAAGAGTTTTTTCTATTTCCAATCTTATTAAAACATACAATGAGCTCTCGAGGCACGGTTTTGCCTCTTCCCAAAATATATGTTCGTTTCCATGGAGCTGAATTTCTAATTTTACAACTCCAAAAGAGGGGATGGCCACGTTGTTCGAATACCTACATCAGACCCACTATGTCAAGTATCTGGAAAGAAATGGTTACGGCCCATTTATATTTCCTCCGAGAGCCCCGCAATAGATTGAGTTTGTGTGTCTGTCTGTTTGTTTCGGATATTCGCGCAGAGCTACAAAAAAAAGTGCACTACTCGTCCCAAATTTCGAACTGGTGGACTAGAGTGAAGGCTGTTAGTCCAACTCTCAGGCTACTCTAATGGGATAGTGGGATTTGCCTGTCACTCTTATAACAAACTGTGAAACTACGTGTTCACATTTGGGCACGCCAAACACTAGGACACTCCCAGCTCGCAACTTCAAAGCTTTTTATTAGCTTGAAGCTCAGCTGTTAATTCTATAAACGGAATTATAACATGGATTAAAACGATGTTTTAACGTCGGAAAAACACTTCAGTAAGATATGAGAAATGTAAATGTAATATATTATATTTTGATAATTTACTCATCATCGTCCACATCCTTGGAAGTTTCTTAACACTAGTTTTCTATCTGGAAGTAATCTAAAACCAAAACTAACTTGTTGGTTCGTCATCTCTTCTGCGTAATGGGTAAAGTTAATTAAAATAAAAAATAAATAATATTAATGTGGCCTTAATCCTTACCATAATTTTATAAAAATAAATAGTGTATCAACCATTTCTGGATTTGTTGTATCCCAACTGGTCTGATGAGAACTGGTATTAGGTGAAAAACCTCCTCAGCACTGGATATATTAGATAGAGTGGGGTTGACATATTGTTGCCTGAAGGGGTTATTGTTAGCGTTCTAATGATCTAACAGCCTGCTGTCTAACACTGACGTTGTTAGCGTTCTAATGATCTAACAGCCTGCTGTCTAACACTGACGTTGTTAGCGTTCTAATGATCTAACAGCCTGCTGTCTAACACTGGCGTTGTTAACGTTCTAATGATCTAACAGCCTGCTGTCTAACACTTATGTTATTAACGTATAACTGATCTAACAACCTGCTGTCTAACACTCATGTTTTTAACGTATAATTGATCTAACAACCTGCTGTCTAATACTGATGTTATAAACGTATAATTGATCTAACAACCTGCTGTCTAACACTGATGTTATTAACGTATAATTGATCTAGCAACCTGCTGTCTAATACTGATGTTGTTAACGTTCTAATGATCTAACAGCCTGCTGTCTAACACTGATGTTATTAACGTATAACTAACTCATCTAACAACTTGCTGTCTAACACTGATGTTGTTAACGTATATCTGATCTAACAATTAGCTATCTAACACTGATGTTATTAACGTATATCTGATCAAACAACCTGCTGTCTAACACTGATGTTATTAACATATAACTGAACTAACAACCTGCTGTCTAACACTGATCTTGTTAACGTATAACTGATCTAACAACCTGCTGTCTAACATTGATGTTATTAACGTATATCTGATCTAACAACTAGCTGTCTAACACTGATGTTATTAACGTATAATGAGCTAACAGCGATATTTTGGCTTTCGCGGCTGCTGTCCTCCCCACAAAAGTCAACTCAGCCTAGTCAACATTATATAGCCAATGTTTAAAGGACGTACATGAATGGATTAATTGAATATGTGGTAAAAACGTCAGTTTTCAATGTCTTTAGTATTATACAATCAATGTTTAAAATGGTAAGACTAGGGAACACAAATGTCAATTTGACAGGAAAGGAGTCACCTTTAGCTAAGACAGTTTTATTTTTCTAACAGGGTGGTTGGTCTTTAAAATGGGTTGCCTTCGGATATGGTAGGTTTAGTTAATTTAAGAGAAAGTTTCATAATATTTGAATGATAAAGGCTGGTTTTGATGGTTTGTTTTGTATATAACTTAATTTAGTGGATGGGATGGCCCACATGGTCCAAAAGGTCCCTTGTTGTCCTTTAATGTTATATCATGTTAATATCTAACACCAAAAGGTAGCAAATGATACAACAAAAACTCTATTCTATCAACTTTATTGATAACAAAGTATAGATGTCTTCTTGATAGACGATTTCATTGGACAGTCTTACGTAACAAAATTTAGAAGCCTTCTTCATAGGGGTTGTTTTGAAATATTTTCAGAGTTGTACAAACCATAAATTAAAATGTGTACCACATTCTAATGGCCCCCAGAGGGTGCTGTGCATTATTTTTTGTATATATTTGTTTATCTATTTATTGTCGATGTGCTTTTTGGAATGAAAAAGCGATTTTTGCGCTTAGTAAAGATAATCATACTTGTTCTGTTGTATGAAAGGTTCATGAATGATTTGATGATGCTAAGATCATATTGTAGCTTTCTTTACTGTACATAAAATTTGAAGTACATTTTTAGATAATAGTTTATGGTTCTGTTACTCTCTGGTATTTAGGTGCAAAACTGAAACTGCATAAATTCAATTTCCAAATATACATTGAACTTTTAGAAGTTCACAAAAGTGTGTTTTATTGGGTATGGCTAATCATAGGCAGTAGATATATTATCTCGAATATTTACCCGAATTATCTTTAGTATTTAGAAAGGACTCCATTTTCCTCACTATCACTAAACTCTAAATAAATATTTCTCAAGTCATAATTAAGTTAAACGTTTTATTGCTCTGGTTTCTTAGAGAGATACACGATTTTTTATGCATTTTATGTAATTTCCTGAAATGCCTTATTTCCCAAGTTTAAGTATCGTGATTGGTTCCTTTGCAATCACTTGTAACAGCATTAAGCACTGTGATAGGCTAGTTTTAATTCTCTTGGTAACAACATTGAGCACCATGATTGGCTAGTTTTAATTCTCTTGGTAACAACATTAAGCACTATGATTTGTTCGTCTTAATTCTCTTGGTAACAATATTAAGCACTATGATTGGTTTGTTTTAATTCTCTTGGTAATAACATTTAGTACTATGATTGGATTGTTTTAATTCTCTTGTTAATAACATTAAGCACTATGATTGGTTTGTTTTGATTATCTTGGTAATAACATTAAGCACTATGACTGGTTTGTTTTAATTCTCTTGGTAATAACATTAAGCACAATAGTTGGCTAGTTTTAATTCTCTTGGTAACAACATTTAGCACTAAACCCTCGTATCCATAGTCCAGGCCCACTAACCACAGGCCACAAAGGTCAACATGAAGCGTTAGTATAATTTTAATTGACGAGCTTATCTGTCCACATACAAAACATTATTGGTCATTCCTTTCCAATACGACGTTTTTCTTTGATAACAACGTTACACTACTTGTTTTGTTTTATTTGAAGTTAAGCACAAAGCTACACAATGGGCTATCTGTGCCCACCACGGGTATCGAAACCAGGTTTCTAGCGTTGTAAGTCCGCAGACATACCGCTGTGACACTGCAGTAGTCTCGTATTTTTATTACTACTTTTATACTGGTGTAATGTATTCTTATTACTTTTTTATATACTGTAGTGTTTATTTGTGCTCCACGAAACCGGTATATTTACCTCATTCCAGCGCATTCTACTTCATGTGACCAGTCTATTTTAACCCTATTTTTATTT